GAGGCTCAGTTTTTATTTTCAATAAGCTACACTTTTCAGTTTTATTTGAAGCTGCTGTACTCAATAGCTATCTGTTAGACTTCACCTCTGCTAACTTCAGTCACTGAATTGGGCCTCTCCACTGTGGTTTGCTGTGTGATGCAGCTTGCCTGAGAAGTTCTCCACCTTGAGGTCAGTCAAATTCTAGTCTTTAATTAGGAGGCACCTGGGTCTGTACTCTCACTACTTGTCCAAATATAGACACATGTGGCTCCTAAAGGTAACACTATGGCAGCCAGAATGCTAACACTGCGGCTTTGAAATGTCAGTTTATGTCATGGTGGCCATCTTTTTTATACAGTTGATGGATAAAGGTCTCTCTTCCTGGCAATAATCAGTGTGTGTTTACAGTACTGTGGAAACGTCTTCTGTAACCACTTATTTCTTTATGTTTTGCTTCCAAGAAGTCACACCTAAGTTCCGCAGGCTTTCTGAAGATCTGGCAAAGTTTTTTGTTTTTGGACATTGGCTCCTTTTTCTGCTACTTTTTAGTCGAGTCCTTCTACCGGACAGTATTCAGAAGAGTTTTTGTTTGTTAAGCCACTTAACACTGACCTATGACTCATTCAGGCATAAAAAATAAATATTTAGGACAAAAAGAAGTAATAGCAGGCCTAAAGAAAATATCTACATCAGATGATCAATATCTTAAAAGTGATGTCCTTAAGAAATAGTAAAACCAAATCCAGCAAAAGCTGGAGAGATGGATCTGGTCCTTCAGCCTCACCAGGAATGGTCTCAACGGAAAGGCCAAGATGTCATTCTTAAGAAAAATGCGGGGAAATGTCAGAGGAAGTCAAATTACACAAGAACCAGCCTGAAAATCAGTGGCAACAGGTCTCATGAAGTGAAGAATTCAAATTTTGAAAACTGAAAACTGTGGAGGTTCTGTCCCGGTTTGGAACTGTATATAACTATATCAGCCAGTGATCTTGGTGCTGTGGGTTGAAATTAAAGGAATTGTGAAATCAAAAAAATACCACTTGATTTTGAACCACTTTATAATGCAATCTGGAAAGTGTCTGATTGTTAAAAGCTTCATTTTTCAGGATGACAACAATCCCAACGATGCCAATGCAGTAAAATACCTGAAAATACCACACACGTCAGTCACAGACTGGCCTCCCCAGAGCCCAGTCCTCGACATTAGTGAAACAGTGTGGGATCATGTAGATAATATAGAACAGAACAAAAGGCAGCCAACATCCAAAGAAGAGCTTTGAATGTCCTACAAGAATCCTACCTGAAGACTACTTAAAGAAACTATAGGAAAGCTTAAAATTGTTCAGGCTGTGAAGAATGAAGGTGGTCACACCAAATATTGACCTTCAAGCTCATTACTGAAAACTCTGTTTTTGCCTTATATATTTCCAAGTGGTTTTTTTGTTGTTGTTTTTTTTACATTTTAATAAATCACTGGATACATTTCACATTTTCCTAGCAAAATATAAAGAAGTGAGGGATGGCTCAAGAGTTTTGCACATTGCTGTACTTTCAGATAAATGGCGAGCCCGTACATTTTAAGGTAATAAATAATAAATAATAATAAATAACAGCACTTTACTTTTTCAGATTTCCGATTACTAACCAGGTCAGATACATCTGCTGTGACATGACACACAGTCACTGGAGAAAACACCAGAGCGCTCTCACAAAATGATGACCAAGCCTCAGAAAAATATGGAAACCATTAGCTTTTATTGTTTTAGAGATTTTTACAAAAAACAAAAAAAAAAATGTGCGATTCCCTCAAATACTTCAGAATGTTTTTCACATAACAGATTTGTGCCAAACATGTCAATTTCAGTTTCATCATTTTCAGACATAACAGATGATCGACAGACTTAAAAAAAACAAAACAAAAAAATCAAGTAAGTCACCTTGGCATATAAGAAATCTGTTAAGATGGATTGAGCAAACTTAAGTTGCCGTGTGTTTGGATGAATGAAGACTAGTAATTATTTTAAGAAATAATTACTAGTCTTCATTCAATATGCTTCATATTCTGAGTTGTAAACTGTGCAGCCTATGCATGAAAACATGTACGAGACGTCAGTATGATTTGAAACGGTGCGGTAGTGTGTATGCCAGTATAACTGTGTGCCTCTGTGTAGGAGTATGTCTGTATATTAAAGGCTTCCCAGTGAAATGAAAAGACACTCGATGAGGGAGAGTTTGAGCAGAGCGCCTGAGGTTGGTGTGGTGACGGCCAAGACGACAAGAAAACATCAGATTAATTCTATATAAAAAGAAGCCCTAACAGTGATTTGTACCATCGCTTTCCGCCCTCGCTCCAAATTTCAAGCAAATGACAACATATTTCCAGCAGTCAGTTACACAGTGGTCCCCTCAATTAACAACAAAAGACTTAAAAAATAATTATCACAGACGCTTGAAACTCTGGGTCTAAATCAGTCGTTAAACTCCTTCTCAAAGCCAAATTTGGCACGATTCAGTGATTGCCTCAACATGTTTAAACACCCCACGGACCTCAAACGACTTCCTGAAAAAATCTGATGAATAAGTCACATTACATTAACTGATGTGAGGTTCCCTTAGGCGAGGAGGTGGGGGGTGGGTTCACAGTAATGCGTTTACTCTAAAGGGTTTCATTGATTTTTCAGAGGGCTTTTTAAAGTGAACCTACTATGCTTTTCCTTCTTTTCTGTGATACAGCTTTTGCTACAAAGGTAGATGCTTTATTATAAATGGCCAAAGTTTGACATAATGAGGTCACCAATTAAGCTCGAGCATCAGAGTGCAGTAAACTCCTGGTTTCAGACAGGTCTTTCTACTCCTGGCTCTGTAAAATGTCAGCGTCCTGTCCTTCTGAATAAAGCTATCCTTCAAGCTTTATTTATTGGTCCTGTCATTGTTTGCATTTATACCTGAGCCCAATGTGTCTACACTAATCATACTGACTTGAAACCAGGTAGAAGACTTTAAAAGTGATCCAATCTAAGCACAAACTCCTAAGCTGTAGACTCAATGTAGCTCTATAAGCAGAGCAGCGCGACCCACCGCAGGCTGGGCAGTGAATTGGATTTAAATTTAAATCTGATTGATCAGGATCAAACAACTAAAGGTGTACATATTTCACTAGCAGGTTTACTTCATGTATTGTGTTTTAAATCAAGCAAACACCGTTATTTTTTTACACTGTTGTACGTTTAGTCCTCTAAAAAAAAACACAAACTCACTTCCAGTTTAAAGTTGACACTATCAATCTAAAGGTTTCTGTCAAAAATGGTGTGTGATAGAGGTGCCAGCTGAATCGGCTCTTTGGCTTTCCATTGCACTCGCCTCTCCTCTTCTTGATTCCATTGTCGTCTAATGATGCCGTCTCACAGAGGACACCGGCCGGATGGACCGGAAGTTCCTACTGTAACACCATGCTTCCCAAATTATGTGAACAATATATAAAATTCAGGAAAATCCCCAATAAAAACACATTTTGTTTAAATTTCTTTAAGTTAATAACTAAAAGATAACCAAATTAAAACTGTTAACATAATAATAGAGAAACCATCTGTCCACTTCCTTCTACCTATCCAATTCCGGCTGTCAATAGGCAAGATGTGGGGTACAGTCTATTACAGGTTTAACACAGATAGACAGACATCCATTCATGCTCACATTCACACTAGTTCAGCTAAAAATGGAAGTCTAAGGACTGTGGATGAAGCTGGAACACCTGGAGAGAAACCACATAGAACATACAAACTGCACAGAAATGCCCCAACTCACTGCTGGATTTGAACCCAGGACCTTCTTAGAGTGAGACACCGCATGCCTCCTGAACAATTTTGGCTCCTCTATCATCAAAAGCCTTTTGTTTATTAGGTGCAGCCAATCAGATAAAAGCTGGTTTAAAAGTAGAGGAACTAAACTGCTTGTTTCAGAGGAAGAACTTAGAGGCTGCACCAATGCCCAGTATAAGATAAAGAAGGATTATTTCCAACTGTGAGTTGTGCAAAGCTAATACTCGAGTCCAAAATTAAAAATGAGCATAACTGGTCAACTTCAAGGCAAAGAAGAATGATCTTTTATGAAGATTACACTTTCATTTTTTTTTTTAAAAGTATTCTAAAATTGCTAATTCATTTTCAGCTCAACAAGCACCAAACCTACAGCCAAATCCCCTCCAATCACTAAGAAATCTTATAGTAATTCAAGTCAGTACAACAATTAACAGAAAAACAAGAAACAAACTTTGAATCGCTTAACCATGAAAAACGGGGTGGGGTGGGGTGGGGGGGGGTCAAGGGCTCAATGTGATTGATTTCAATAAAAATTTGTGATTGGATTCAACAGATTGAATGCACCTCTTCCTGTGGAGCGATAAAACATGCTACTTTAGGCAAACATTCTGTGCTTTAGCTAGCAGTGTTTCTTATTGCCACAAGTCACATTAGGAATGAGTTCGTGTTCACACACGGAGCCCGTTGAGGGGCGACTGTGTCCGATTAGTTATATGACACTCTCTCTACGAGCAGCAGGTGTCAGCGTCTCTGAAATTTGTAGCTAACATAAAATAAATACACACTGAAAGGAATCGGCCGTGCACTGTTACTGTAATGTTATGTCGCTCCTGTGATGGAGCGCTCTGTCCAGGTTCGGCTACTGCCGAGGGAGGTTAGGAGAGCAGCTACTCTGGTCAGTAAATATAAAGAAGGTACAAAGTAAGCATCATTTGAGTCCATTTTGGAGTGTGTTTTTCGCATATTAAAAACGGCAGAGCCAAACAGTCTGTCAGCACTTTGTCTCCTGCGGATGGCTTTGCTAATCACATGCAAATGTTTGATCAATGCAGTATCAGCCCTTTACACTGCAACCACACTGCGAGAAAAAACTAGATGCCTGTGAATGGCACACAGAAATTATTTGTCAAAGCGGAGTACTCAAATGTGCAATACAGCAGATCACTGTTAGGATCCCCCGGATTAAATAATGCCTTCGGAGGAGGAGAAGTATCTTATTTTCTTACTCTGCAGCACAATTTGTTCTGATCTGTTCCACCTAATATAACTGCCTTCTGACAGTCTGAACAGCAGTCATATAGAGAAAAGCAAGTCTGATGTATTAAAATAAGGCGTGTGCTTTACTTAACCCCTTAACATGTGGCACTACAAAAAGGTTGATCTATGAAATAAGTTAAAATGTGTAACATACGGATAAACAGTTCATACTGGATGTTTTAGGACTAATCATATTTGTGTCCTTATGTACAATAAAGTGAGGAACAGTACAAGGCACACATTTAACAGTTGAATTGTTACAAAGATATAAATAACCAACAAAAAAAAAGTAAAGAAAAGTTCATGAATAGTGTGTGCTCTCCTCTAACTCTGTCCAATGTGCTTTCATTGATTTTTCTCTGCAGCGCTCTCGAGTGCCAACGGTGGTCTATTTCAAGACTTGAAGTGTCATCGTGGTTGACCTGTCCAAGCAACCTTGGGAGCAGTGACACCTTAACGAGGCTAGCAGCAGTCAGATGGATCACTGTGTGTTTGTGTGTATACGTGCGTGTATTAAATGATGTCTACAAAGCTGCCAGGGAACAGTCCCGTCCTGCCATTCCTCTGCAGCGTGCCTTTGAACCAGCCATCTTCCCTCTTCCTGTGAACAAACACAATGTCGCCCTCCTTAAGTTCCAGCTCTGCTTCGCTCTGGGGAGGATATGATACAACCACCCTGTACCTGAAAGAGAATAGCCAGGCAGATGGTGAATGATACACACTGCAACAATGGCAATGAGTGTGTCCTGGAAACAGATTTAAAAACAACAAACAACATGCACACATGGAAAAATTTGAGTACCGCATGTATATATCCCACTCAAACTGAACTGAATTAGGAACACCATAACATGGACACAAAGTTCTAGTCTAAACAGGCCTTTATGAATCTGGCTATTGATTGATCTAGTTGTACAGATAAACAATAATCTGAAACAGTCCAAAGAAACTGCGCATTTACCTCTCACATATGATGGGACGTGCGTCATGCTGTTGAGATAAAAGAGAGGAGCAGGGCTGGCGGGGAGGAGGAGCGATAGGAACACATCCATCAAGGGGACTGCTCTTCCGATGGGAGGACTCTGGGACTGAGGAGGAGGAGGATGACGAGGCAGAAGCAGCAGCAGGTTCAGAGTCCAGGCAGCTCGCTGGGCCAGAGGGAGGGGAGGTGTCAGGGCCCACAGCGCCATGTAGCAGCTCTCCAGCAGCAGCGGTCTGCTCAGCCTCAAGGGTAGGAGAGGAGGGGGGCGAAGGGCGAGACTTCTTCTTATTGGAGGACAACAGCTTCAGAAGACTTTTCTTTTCTCTCTGCAAAATGAAGACAAGCATTTTTTTGCAGCAACCTCTGAGGCGATGACAAGTACTTTTTAGAAGCCGCAGACAGACATAATCTAATGTCTGGACCTGTTTGTTTCTCCCTACGGAAACTAAAAAAAATGTGGTGGGACAAATTCCAATTTTATTTTATTTTTTTTTGCAGGCAAGGTAAATGTGTAAAAACATGGCATCTATTTGTTAAGCAGACATTAAAAAATAAATAAATAATAAATAATATATATATATATATGTAAAAAATAAAACAGCCCTCCTTGTTGTTCCTACTGGTGAATCGTCCCTGCATGATTAACATTTAAATAAAAATTAAGCCTCCCAGGGCATTTCAATCATCTGCTACAAATGAAGACATTCATTACTATGATGGAAAAAAACAAAACAGGTATCTATTAAAAACACAAACAGCAACAGACAATTGGAGACCATTTTAATTCTTTCAGAGTCCAACCTTGATGTCTTTATCCAGTCTGCAGGCAGGAGCTGCATTGTTAGATGTGGGATTGAGAGCGGAGTTGCTCCCAGGGCCGACGGGCACAGCGAGGACAGGTACAGGTCTCAAAGCGTCACTATCCAAAGATGCAGCGCTGACATTGGGTGGGGTCAAGGAGGCAGCTGCGCAGCCCATTGCCACCCCTAATCGAGTGCAGCCTTGTGCAGGGCTTGACCCGGGCTGCGAGCACACTGCGAGGTGTGGGAGATACGTCACGGGTGTTGCAGACTGTATTGGTGTCACTGCTGCTGTGGGCCTGTCCTGACTGTGACATGCAGCTGCAAATTCAATATATGAAAATTTGGTTTTCATAGGTTTAAATTTGTCTTCATACAAAAGGACAAAATCCATTTTAAGCCAGTGAGTTTACCTGTCCTGACCGCGTTGCGAGCCTGATTCACGGTCATCTGGGAGGTGACGTGCAGCGAGACTTTTGGCTGTTGGCCTGTGGCTGTTTGAGCTGTGGTGACCACCGCTACAGGCTGGGAGCTGGCAGGTGCAGCGGCGGGGCATACAGTGAGCGGTTTGTTAAAATCAGGCCCTGAAACAATGGCTCCAAGGGGAGCAGAAGAGGGGCTGACGATGGTGACACCTCTGCCTGCCTGAGTGCACAGACTCAAGGGCACTTTGGGCTGAGAGCTCCCAGACGCCGTCCTGCAGAGGGAGAGAGGAAGTAAAACGGTGTAAGACACAGTGCAGCTTTATACGATAAGATGCATCTTTAGCGTGAAGTGTGCCCGACAGCTCTAGTGTGTGCACTAGCATCCAGAACACCAATATATTAGGGTTTCAGAAAAGATTAATCACAGCCTGGACAACTAAGATTTCAGTACATCAAATTTAAGATCCTGACATTATGATAACCAAATATTTCAGTAAAGCAGATTGTTCTCTCTGGTTTGGAGGACAGTTGTTGCCCCAAATAAGAAAGTTTAAATATTTCAGGATCTTTACAAGTGATGGTGAAGGCAGGGTCTGAAAATAACAAGACTGCGGGTACAAGCTAACATAATTAGCTAACCCACTGGGTGGCTGGGCTAAGCCTTAGACACAAGGTGAAGAGCTCAGAGTGGAGATGCTGCTCCTTTGTGTCAAAAAGGAGACCACTCATCCTTACAAGAATGCCACCTGGATGTTTCCCTTAGGAGGTTTACGAGCTGTACCCTACCGATAGACCCAGAACTCACTGGGGATTACACAGCTCTCCTGGCTGGCTTGAGAACACCTCGAGATCCCCTAGGAGGAATTGGAAAACATTGCTGGGAAAAGCGAGGTCTTGAATACCTGGCTTAGCCAGCAGTCACTGTGACCTGACTTCAGATAAGCGGAAGATTATAAATGGACAAATAAAAATGCACAGCACCGTAGCTCTGTTTTTAGAAGGACCTCAGTCAGAACATGGAGCATCATTTCCAGATTTAAGTAGCTTACCACTACCCGATCAACCTCATAAACACTTTTCTGTCGATGATGCCTGGACAATATTTTTGATTTTAGCACCTGGAGGAGCAGCTGTACCAATCATTTTATTGACCCTGAAAGAATCTGGAAAGTTTTAAGTCTGGGTGTCTCTCTGTGGTTGTTTGGAACTGAAGCAGCATTTAGTAAATTACATTAGCCATAAGATGCTAAAGATTTCTGGTCTTAAACTGTGACTAATAAGAGTCACGGTTATGGTTTAAATTGACCATAAACCAAAAACTTACTAAAACCTTAAATGAGGTCTACAATTTTGTCAGACTGAAAGCTGAATGCAGGAAAACAAAAAACTCTCACGAGAAATTTGTGCAGCAAAATGTATTCTTTATGGGAATTATTCTTTGCTAAGCTGGTTCAATAACTCAGCAAAAAGCATTTGTACAGAATAAACATCAGGTGTGGCTTTATCAATAAAACACAGCATACTTTACACTATCAGCAAACTGGAGGAATTTTTATGCTATAGCTTTGCATCATAAACAAAAGGATGTGAAAGCGAGTGCACCTGCGAGTGTGTGTGTATACAGTATGCTGATAAGAATAAATGCCTGACCTGCTGACGGGGCTCATGTAGTTCCCAGGAAACACTCCAATCTTTCCCGTGTGCATGGACGTGCCCTTGAACCAGCCATCCTGACAGCGTTCCAGCACCAGAAACATCTCTCCTTTCCTCAGCTCCAGTTCATCCTCCTTTCGAGGAGTGTAGGGAAACATTGCCACATAGCTGCATGAAAAACAAACAAAGATGAGACATTTACCAGACACATAGATGGCTTTCATGGCGGACTTTCTCCCTTCTGGAATAAAAGCATGCCATTTGCTTTGCGTTCATCCCATCATCCAGTACATCTGTCATCAGCTCCTCTGGGAGCCTCCAGCAAAGACAGTGCCCTCTGACCCAGAGAAAATCTGCACTGGAGGACAAAACAATTTGTGGGTCATGTCTCTACCGCAGCCAAAAAAACAGGCCTCAGCTGGGATGTTTTCAGTCTGATTTCAGTGTTGTCTGCGAGGGAACATAAATGGATGAGTCTGACATGCATGCAATGGCAGGAAAACAGGCATGAGTGGATCTAATTCTTATCAGGTGTGTGGTTTGTCTTCAGGGAGTAATGAGGGTAAAAGGTGAAAGGGTCAAAAGTCAGGGGTCACCGAGTGGATGGACCAATGGGACCCAGGAGACTGTCACTCCCAGACTTTGACCCCTTCACCTGAGCAGAAGCTCACACTCTGCAGACTCTCAACTGACAGATGAGGGGGAGGGAGGGAGAAAGGGGGGGCTGTGTGAGAGACAGACGAGGATTTCCTCCCTCTGATCCGAGCATGTGCATTAAGGCTTTGGGCCATCAGTGCACAAACCGCTTGTGACATTTCACTGCACATTTCAGAAGACTGCATATTTTCATGTGGGACTGTTTTTATTACTCACACTGTGGGTCTTTGTCTCCCACTTTGGTCGCTTATGCTGGGGGAGGGTCTCTGTCCGGCAGCCAGCGAATATGCAGCTCCACCGACGGAGGACTGGGGGGGAGGCGGTGGGGGTGGTGGGAGAGCATCCTATAGAGGAAAAAAAAAAAATCACATTATTTTTCACTATGTCACTTATTTCCTCTCAGTTTGAATCAGAAAGATGAGAAAAAAAAAGCAGAATGGACCACAGGAAGAAGAAAAAAACCAAACAGACTGCACGTTGCATAAGCACAGAAACCAGTTTGTTTATGAGAAACAAAGGAAGAAGAAGAATGAGAGATCATCTGTCATTTGGGTTATTCCCTCCAGCTGTCAACACCAGGGAGAGTGGTTTGGCAGCCTCCGTCGTTTCGTCCCCGACATCCCATTGCAACGGAGAATCTCTTTTTCTGCTTGTTTGTTTGTTGCTAGGACACCGCATAGCTTGATGTTAAATCCATTGCAGTATATAATTGGGAACATATGAAGTGAAAAGCATGTCTGTTGGCACACTTGAGAGCAACCCTCAAACCAGTCATGAGTAGATTCATCTTGACTCACTTGTTTTCCCTTGGTGACCGTCTTTAAGGTCAAAAGAGACTCAAGCTTTTGACTGCAGGCCTTTAGGGGATTTTCTTTGTATGTCTTTTGTGCTTCTAGGATTACAGGATTAAAATATAAGTCACCAACCTCCTATGTCACCACACAAACCAGAAGTACAATTTTAGGAAGAAGTCAAAAATTCAAAAGATTAATTTTTCATGTTTGAAAAGTATAAACTTGTTATCTGATGTCTGCTGCCCAGCCTCCATTGCACTCTACCTTAAAATCTGTTACGATGGATGGGCAAACCAAAGGACAGCAAACACATATTTATTCAGGATATGCTCAGTTGAGCCATATGGATCACAGCTACCAGATGCTTGACAACGGGCTTCCCTTCCAGGTCCAGGAGGAAACCATTTTCTAGTGCTCACCCAAGTTCTCCATCTCTTTGGTGGTATCATTGGAGCATCTAAACAAGATGCTTTCTGGCTGCTTTCCTGTGGAGATTTTTGGGCATGCTCAATTTGAAGGAGGTCTAGGATAGATCTAGAATATTTTATGTGGCTTAGAAACGCCTCAACAGGAGGAGTAACCAAAAAGTGTTACCCTGCTTAGACTGCTACCAACTGCTACCCAACTTCACATAAGCAAAATTGAATGGAAGGATCTGTCTTTAACAGCTCTGTTTTTCTCTAAATAAATGGAAAATGACATTCTTTTATGACAGTAAAAATGGCCCCTGAAGCTTTTCAAACATATGTTTTTGTTATCTTTCAATATATAATATTAGTTTTAGTGAAAATTTGTTCTTCTGAATAAAGATCAAACAGATTTAATTTTGGGTCTAGTGAAACTTCATCTTATTTTTTTCCTCTTCACATCGCTTTGAGCTCTTCCCAAACCCTTTTATTCTTTCTACACTCCAAAATGGTGACAAAATGTCCTTTTAACTCGCGTATATTTAGTACTTATGGCTGGCATATTTTTAAATAACAATTTAACCTGGCAGGACCTACATATATTGGCATTAACCGGTTATAATTTGTGTTCAAACTTTGGTTATGAATCCTTTCGTTTTCTCTTTGCCATGAGTCGTAGTTTTGGAGTCAGTTAATCTGTGTTTATAAGTAACTTTGGAAATGAAACACAGTAAATAATCAAAAAAAGAGAAAACAACACATTATAAAATCGTAAACTGTTAAAAAACAAACAAAAAAAAAACAGATGAAGTCTCAGTGTGTTGGAATGATGCTGAAGAGGACTCTCCTATCCAGGAGCAAGATGAGTCTTCCCAAACCGAATGCTGGCAGTTCTGCACAGCAGAGTAATAGCTTCCATGACACACTGGGGGAGGAGAGTGGCACTCAGACAGCCCTGTGGTGTGCGTATGGGCTGTGTGTATGTGTGAGTGTCGATGTGCGTTTCGGTTCGCTGCCGACGCTTGAGCTGAGATAATTAGGTTGCCTGCAGGCTGGAGAAATCATCTGTACAAAAACATCATGTTGGGTTCCCAAGTGAAGCGGAGAGCGCAACCTTTTGTGTACACATTCCTGCTCATTCAGAAACTCCACATGCCAGAGCATACACACAGACAGACAGGAAGTGTACGTGCTGCTTTGTGTGGGCTGCAGGGACTTCTTGACATTTTTAGCTGCACTCATTCTTTTTCCCTCTGCACATAGGTGTTGTTAAAAAGTTGTTTGCAAAGTGTAGAATTGTAAAACCATTATCGGCACAGAATACAGATGAACAAAACTTTATGTCTAAAAGACCCTGACATAAACAGATGTCTGGCCAATCATCAGCAACATGTTTTAACGCTCTGAGGTTTAAGTCTTCATTGATGGTAACCGCAAACCTACATTTTAATCCTACAGGTGATAGAGACAATAACTTAGACCTCAGAGGATTACTGGATCAGTTAATCCAATCTTAATAGAATAACCGGTATAATGTATGCCATTGCCAGATGATGTTATGCTGTTTTTGAAAGTCTGGAGTGACATAAGAGGTGTACTAAATGTTGGGCTTCTACCACTTTTTACAAGCCCTGCAATACAGTCCATCTAAGCTCCGGTAGGCCTGACGGTGCATTCACACTTTGACCTTGAGGTCAAGGCCACCGGCCACTGAAATTTTTAGTAGGTACACTTAAGTTGTGAATGTGAAAATCCTGAGTGACTTCCTTCTCCAGTTATTACCTTGAGGTCAGGGTCACTGAGATTCAAAGTCATTCAAGATTTTTAGTAGATACTTATAGCACTTATAGCACTTATAGCATTAATTTCAAATTCCTACGTTGCTTCGTTTTCTAGTTGTCGTATTGACAAACTTGGGTGTCCACGTTGCCCGCCTGGCAGGTTGACAAAAATGCCCTATCAGCCTTTTACAGGCTGAGGGGTAAAAAGAGGTTATGGTGAGTGGATGTCTTTTTACTAAATTACCCACAACAAGAGAACCAATGATCATTATTGGACCACTCAAATCCCCAGTAACAATCAACATTTACTTAAAAAAAGAAAAAAATTTGCTCAAGACAGCATTTGTATGAATTTTAAAGTCTTACCACAGGGATGGATGTGTAGCTCGTCTCTGAGGGAAATGTGAAGACGGTTGCTGTAGTAACAGGACTGCTAGGAGGCGGGGTCACAATTAGGCCAGTTGTGCAAATATGTACCTGTCAACAAAAGACAAATGTAGACCATTAAAAACACTGCAACGACTCCTCACACACAAAGAATAGAAATGAGCTCCAGCTATTCTGATTAATTACACCTACAGGATGAGGACATATGTGCATCACCGCTGATCCCAGCACAGCTTTGAGTGTTTATGGCACAGATTTGGATGTCAGTACAGCTAAATAACCGTGCAACAATTGTGGT